CAAGGAGCACCTGCCTCTGGGCGGCCCGGGCGCCCACCACACCCTCTTCGTGGACTGCATCCCCCTCTTCCACGGCACCCTGGCCCTCGCGCCCATGCTGGAGGTGGCCCTCACCCTGGTAAGCGCCCCGCGGGCAGCCCTGGCCTCCAGCGGAGTCCGCAGAGGAGACCGGTCTAGGGCTCGGCTCAGTGGGAACCCGGCGTCCGCTTCCGGGGTCGCCGTGACCGGGCAGGTGCCATCCGCGGGGCGTCTGAGGCTGGGCCTGGCTCTCGGCGCCCACCCGATGGCAGCTCGTGGTCGCGGCCGCCGGAGGGGCGACCTGGACGTCGCAGATGCCTTCAGAGGCGCTATAGGCGGCGAGTTCTGCGTTCGCTTCCCGAGGCCAGTAACCTCTAGAGGAACAGGCCGCCTTGGATGGTGGGCGAGGACGCGACAGACTTGTCCCTGGGATTTCCAGTTGCAAGAAGTTTTCACGTCGCTGGGACTTTAACTCAAACGCCAGCATTTGGTAGTTGCACCTTCGTAGAGGCGATTCTTCATCTGCCGTGGGCGTCGATGCTGCGGTTCTTGGGGAACCCCAGAGCTCAGACTCTTAGAAAGGCAGCATTGCGCCTTGGCCTGCTCCCCTCGAGTGTAGGGGAGCTACTCAGGAGGGCGTGTCTGTCCCCGTTCGTGGTTAACGGCTTACCTAGGATGCTTTGTGGCTGTAAACGCTAAGGGATGTTTGTGAAGTTCAAAAACAGGAGCAGGCCATCTGTGCCACGTGCTGGTAGGTGTCTCTTTACAGTGACTGCTAAATGGAAATATAACAGGAAGGAGCGTCAGCATCAGAGATACTAGCTGGTAGTGGAATTTTAAGCAGTAGAGATTTTCAGTTATGGTGATCAGTGAAGGAAAAAAGACCGTCTGTGAATTCCATCGAATTCTTAAAACCTGGAGGAGAAGAAAACAGACCTCACAAGTGGCCCCCTGCGCAGGGTGCTGTTTTTCATTTAAGAATAAACTGTGGGCCGCGCTCTGTGGCTCAGCGCAGAATTACAATTCCGCACTTTGGGAGGCTGAGGTGAGTGGATGGCCTGAGCCCGCAGGTTTGAGACCTGCCTGGGCAGGTTGGCGAGACCTCATCTCTCCAATACATCAAAAATTGGCCAGGCGTGGTAGCGCACGCCCGTAGTTCCAGCCACTTGGAAGGCTGAGGCGGAAGGATCGCTGGATCCCAGCAGGTCAAGGCTGTGGTGGCTGGGAGCGTGCCACTGCACTCCAGTCTGGGCAACAGAGTGAGACTCCAACTCAAAAAAAAAAGAATAAACTGTGATGCCTAAAAAAATTAGCTAATTCATGTAAGTAGTTAAGTTTGAGAAGGTGCGGATAGGCACTTATACCACCAACCAAGTGAAATGAAGCCATTTCCTGATTTACCTAACTGTGGCAAACAGGAAGGATCTTTGGGCAGACAGGCATGGCCTGAGGCTCCTGGGCACATCTTTGAGTGCCTGTTAGACTGAGTTATCCTGTGAATGTCTTCATATCATTCCTGGGCGGGAGACAGGTAATAATGTGTAGATGACATTTATAAAATGAGCCATTTTAGCTCCTGAAGAACTGGGCCGCCAGAATGGAAACCCTACCAGGGAGTCTGTGTGGGTTTTAATACAGGTCTTTCCAGCTAGCTGTGTTGACTGTTTTGTTGTCAGGAGAATCGCGTAACTGACTTGCAGGGAGCTAGCTTCACCAGCAGCAGTTATGCAGGGTGACACAGTTCCCCAGTGGATATTTCTCAGTGTCTTCTTTGTGCCAGACCTGTGCTGGGAGAGACGTGGCTATGGACCAAACACAGTACCTGCATAGCTCTTGAACTTGGAACAAGCCAACAAGCACGTTACCAAAGAATAAGTGCCAGATGGGATTATGTAAAAAAGTGGTGAGGGATTAGAGAGGTCAACCAGCCCAGGCTTGGGGAGTCCCAAAGAAGGGCGATGCAAACAGTGGGCAGCCCTGGTAACGCAGGAGATGGCCAGGGACCAGCATGTGCAGAGAGCAGGAGAAGACAGTGGGCAGCAGAGGAGGGGACGGGTGTTTGGAGGAGCTAGGGGCTGGCATGTAAAGGGGCAGGGGGCAGAAGGAGGTGAGGTGGGCAGATTGTGGGGACCTTACAAGACCACACAGATGCGCTCGGGCGTCGACCTGAGAACAGGGCAGCCACTGGGGGAGAGTTGCATAATCAGATGTGTCAAGTGATGGTTCCAGCCTGCAGCGAGGAGGATGCTGGAGACAAGAGTCCAAGACTAGAGGTGGGAGGTGGCTGAACAGCAGTGTGGGTGGGAGAAGGGACCAACAAGAGACAGCAGGAGGGAGAATCCACGTGGCTCGGTGACCGGTTGTGCGTGAACCCAGGCCAAAGGAAATGAGGGTGACACTGTGCCTGGGTTTCTGGCATTATTGTCAGGAGGATGGGGCAGTGCTGCCATTTGTTGAGAGAACGCAGGCAGAGAAACAGGTGTCTGGAGGAGGGGAATTGCTTCTGTTTGCGATGTGTTGAATTGAGATGTTCAAATGAAGAAGTCCTGGCGATGAGAGGTGACAAGGTCTGCAGGCCAGAGATGGAGATTGAGAGCCAGGACTTCTGATGACTTTGGAAGCAGGAGAGCAGGTCATGGCACCGGGCGACCTCTGGCTCTGAAAGGGTGGGTGGAGGAAGAGGAGTCACAGGTGATTGAGGAACGACAGGGGTAAGAGGGAAGGCTGTGTTGCTGCTATCCAGGCAAAATCCTACTAGAAATGTTTAATAGCTTCTTGAAGACGAGCTTGAGCCCCGCTTGGAATGTTAAATATATCTCACTCTCCTTCCTAAATAATCTCTGCAGAGTCAAAGAGTTGTGTTCCCGTTATGGGACATGCGTGCAGTACTTGAGAGATTAGACCCACTAACCATAAACAACTGCATCTGAGTCACCTTTATTTATGTCGGTTTTCCCCAAGGAGGAGAGCTGCCTTCCAAACCACCTACCTGGTATAAAAGCTGTCCCAAAGCTACCTTGACTCTGAGAGCCGAGGGGCCAGCTGCCTCCATCTTGAGAGGAGGGTGCCGCAGAGGCTACCTCTGGCCTTGCTGGCTGGCCAGGGTGGGCTCTGCACTGCACTCCAGCCTCCAGCTCCCGGCTCCGCCCGGCCATGAACCTCCCGGCCAGCAGTGTCAGGGCCAGTGGGATTCCCTGCAATTCTTCTGCTCAGCAGTGAAAATAACCGCCTGAGATTTGTTCTTGCCAAGCAGTGGTTATACTGGCTTTTCTTATATTCACCAGAACTTTGGGTCATGGCCTCAGCGGTTGACATATGTGAAGAAGATGCCAGTCCAGTGCAAATGAAGTAACTTTCAAAGGAAAGTTCACAACTCGAGTCCATCCAAAAGTTGGATATTTCAGTTGAGCTATTTATAAGTGTATAGTACTCACCTTCTGACTTAGAGACTTTACAATCTGCAGTCAATGAAAAAAATCTCAGGATTTGGAGCCATAGTTTATCAGACTGCCAGCAATGGAAGATGTCATTTTAACAGCATCCATATCCATGCATCTACATGCATGAGGCCTTATTTGGAGAGTTTCATGTTGGAATTGTTTTTGATAAGTGGGAAGGACCAGCTTGAACACAGTCCATCAAAGGGCTGCATCCCTTTGAAAGGCTTTTTGTTATAATTTTCCATTTTTGAAAAAATCCTTGCGTTTCTAGGTGCTTTTTATTTTTTTTAAGTACTTATGCCTATTAACTATTTATCCTTATAACCCTTTGACGTAGGTAGTGAAGGAATTATTTCTAATAGCAGAAGCCCATAAAGCGTTATAGGAAATCAGCATGACCTGCTGCTTCTCTAAGCCCTTTTTGTCCTTCTCCCCTCTCGGGAGTTCCTGGTACTGCAGGCAGCTTTCTGTTCCATTTGGCTCAGATGCCTTTCCTGCTCGCATTTGGCCTGTCTCGTGACGTCAGGCCAGGCTTCTGCTGCAGCCTCCCTGCAGGCCTGCTCTGGGCTCTCCCACCCCGTCCCCTCATACCTTTTGTTCATCCCCAGAAGATTCTGTGCTGGCTTGGCAGGGAGAGGCTGCCCTGGCCCTCCCAGCAGCTCTCCCAGGAAGGCCCCTTCCTTCTGGGGGGGGGGGAGGACATCCCCGTCACTTCTGAACTCCAAGGCCAGCTTTGCCGGTGCCACAAGCTAGGAAGGCTTAGTGGGGCACCCTCAGTTTGTGGTAGGTGGCGAGTTCGGGAGAGATCCCTCCCTGGAGTGACTCAGACCGTCCTTGCCTTACCTACTTCATAGCTGTTGCACAGTCACTCCAGGCAGGAGGCAGGTGGTGGTGCGGAGGCCAGCCAAGCTGCCGAGAGGAGCTGCTTTGTGCAGAGTCTAGTTGGGAATGAGTGGGGGCCCGGCCCTTTAATGGTTTTCCTACTTGTCTGGAATGAATGAGCCAAAAAGGGCGTTGAGCAGAGGGTAATGGACTTGTGCCAAGGTGAAAGTGTTCTTTCCTTCCAAAAACTAAAGAAACTGCACAAGTGAGCACAGAATTCAGAGCATGTCTGTGTTCAGAACCGGTTTTATTAAATTGACAATGAGCTTCCCAAAGTTTTGTCCTGAACTTTTTGTTTTGATTTTTCATGAGATGCATGATAGCAGCATGGGGGATGTTCAGCACAGCAAGGAAAGGGACATGGATTCATTGGGAACAGAGGCCAAGTGACTTCTGTCTTCCTTCTGCCCTGTCTTGCCTCACTTAGGAGGTATCAATTTGCTGAAATCCACCAAGCTTTTCCCTGATGAGCCTTGAGGGCTCACTGCAGGGTTCTGAAGCCACAGGGCTCTGACCGCCCACACCCTGCTCATCCTCTTCCACACAGTTCCCTTCCTCCCCAGACACCCTCACCTGAAGTCTCTTTTCACATTCTAGACTACCAGGGAAACGGCCCTCCTGTTAAGATGTGTTTAGCCTGCCGCCATGGGCATTGACAGCCGTGGCGGTTCCATTTCTCCCTCTCGTGATCTCCATTCCTAACTTGGTAGATGGGCTGTGCACGCCCCTCATGGACATCCATACAGCCCACTCGGTTCTGCAGAAGTGTCTAAAGCCAGGCTAGAGACTTGTGACCTGGTTCACTTTAAGGGCATCCTCTTCAAAAAGTTCTTCTAGAAGTTCCAGGTCATGCCGTTTTGCTGCTAAAATTTGGTTAAATCTTTGGAGTTTTTCCTACAAGAATTTGTCCTTTAGCAGGTAAAATGTAGGTTACGGAGTACATTGCATCTGCCACAGGAATCATCCTTTGTGTCATGTACGTTCTGTGCTCTGAGGGTGGGTGTGAGGTAATGCCATGTGTGTTTGCTGGGGTGCGAGTCCTGACCCGTTGGCTTCCCCCCAGGAAAGGGATGGTTGGATGGACCTCTTAGAGGCTCACAAAAGATTGCTGCTGGGTGTCAGGACGGTGTTTGTAGCAACCTAAAAATAAAACGGATCCTATCCTTGCAGAAATGTAGTTTAACTGGCCAGCTGAGTAGTAATCTCCAAAAGTTGTCCATGTCCTAATCCCCAAGCTTACCATAACAAAAGGGACTTTGCAGATGTGCTGAAGGTAAGGCCTGGGATAGAGAGATAAACCTGGATTATCTGGGTGGGCCCCAGGTCATCACAGGGGCTCTTGTCAGAAGTTAGAAGGAGGTGAATGATGGAAGCAGAGGTCAGAGTGGCACGTCCGGGAGCCAGGGAACGGAACGCAGGCAGCCTCTGGGCGCTGGAAGAAGCAAGGAAGCGTTCTCCCCTAGAGCCTCCAGAAGGAACACGGCCCTACTGGGATAAAAAAATGTGTGCTGTCTTAAGCCACAAAACTTGTGTAAATTGTTACCTGGGCAGTATAAAACTAACACAGCAGCCCATCTGACTGTGGAAATGAGGGCAGGCCGCCCTAGAGAGCAAGGATGGGGGCGTCCAATGGGCAGAGGCAAAGCGCCTCAAGGGGAGCCACGAGAGGCCGGCTTCATTGAAAACTGAGGCTGAGAGCGCAGGGCTAGAGGACAGTTCATGGAGGAGCAGGGCCATCCCCCGTTTGCAGCCAGGCCCTGTGGTCCTGTGGAGAGGCAGGTTTGTTCTAAGCAGCAGTAGAAAATTTCTGGAGCCTGTTTTATTAAGGAGGATAGAAATGAAGTGTAAGTGGTTTGAGAGTTATTTGCAGCCAAATCCCAGTGATGGCACCATTGTCGGCATTTTGGAGACAGGGCCCTGGCCCTTTGGGTGAATGAGCAGCTTATCCAGTTAGTTCAGTGCACCCTGGTTTTGACCCAATATGGTAATTCATGAGCTCTTCAGAGGCCAGAAATATCCTAATCCTGTGCGAGCCAGGGACCCTAGGGCAGTTACTATCTTGTACTGTCTGCTTTTGGTCATAAAGGAGACTGTCAGGAAAAAGTGCCATAGAGTTGTGCTCACACACACACACACACACACACACACACACACACACTTTTTGCCACTTTATTCACTGCAAAAAATGCAAGGTATCAATTTTGTTTCCTTTTCTGCAGACTGAGAATAGAATTTGTTGCAGTGTATTAAAATTCCATTGTGGCAAAACAGGGTGACCTTTTGTTGTTTTTAATAACAGCATTAGACCTGCAGGAAGCTAAATCTGATGAGAGAAAAGTGGCATTATAAAATAGAGCACACACTGTCAAGGTCTGCCACCGTGCTGCCATTTAGAGGCACACCACAGGGAGTTAAGAACGTGTGTGCCTGTGTGCCTGCTTACCCAACCCTGTGGAAGGGCACTTGTGGTGTGTTGCTGGAATGCTGAAATCCAGAGTGAAAAGACTGCTTTAGAAGAAACCAAGCCTCCCGTTCTGGCTCTGCTGCTTCTGTAGAACCTCTGAACTTTAGTTTCCTCGCCTAGGAAGAATCAGCTTACACGAGCTTAAGGGCTTCTCGAACCCCAGAATACCCCAGTTCTCTGTATTGAAAGAGGCGGGTGAAGACTACCTCGGCTACAGCACTGCACCCACGTGACACCTGTAGATGGGGCCTCCCGCCGGGGCTGGGGAAGAAGGTCATCTTCACGTTCAAGGTCCTGTCCCTCCTAACCAAGACAGGACCCTGGCCTTGGTTTGATTTGTGCTGTTGGGCCTCTCCCTCTTAGCCTTTCTTCTGGGGAGAAGGATCATGTCTTATCCCAGCTTGTGGGGGAGGGATTTCCCTTCACTCCTGAGCCTTGATGTCTAAGGGAAAATCATTCATCTCTTCTCCCTCTTTTTGTTTCTCTTTCAGATTGATTCGTGGTGCAAAGATAACAGCTATGTGATTGCTGGTTATTATCAAGCTAATGAGCGAGTAAAGGATGCCAGGTATGTCGCTGCAGACACCCGTGGGCGGGTAGACGTGGCAGACGGAGCCAGTCCCTGGCTCCAGATGCAGGGCCCCGGGGGCCCCGCACCCCTCCCCGCCCCCTTGCTTGTTTATAGCATTTGAGGAGAACAGTGGCGTGGATGGTTCCAAACAAGAGAAGTCCCAAACATTTATGTTAACTCGAGGGTTCTGTTTGGTGTCTTCTTGCTTTTGTGTAAAGGGAACTCATACATGAAAGTGACAGTCAGGGCCTCCAGTTTGTCCCCACCTGACTCCACCTCACTTCCTGCTCCCAGCCTGGGAGTGCTGTGAGCAGGGCATCTGGAAGGAATACTGCTCTCTCTTGGGGTGAATGTGACGCTGCCAGGTGGGCCCTGGGCTGCGAGGGGATGAAAAGGTAGCATTTGCTGCTTCCTTCGGCTCCTGCCTCCTTTTACCCAGACACTCCCCCACAGTTCTTTTTTTTTTTTTTTTTTTTTTTTTT